AATCTTTTAAGACAAGCTAAATTCAAAAGTGATATCAACAAGTGCACAATTCATTCAACAATACTCTTGAAAAACAGGACAACACTACTGAAAAAAAGCTTGATGCATCTTAATTTAGACAGTATGGAATTATGTTTTTTTATGAAAATATCAAAAACAAAAAAAATTCATTAGATATTTGAAAATAAATATTAAATTGCCAAAAAACTATATGTGATTCAAGTAGTACCAAGAAATTTTAGCAATTGTAGCAAACATGATTGTAATTTCTTTCGATAAAGACTTGTGATAATAATGATACAATAACGGTTAGATGATATATGTTAGTTCTCGTTGACTGCAAAATAAACTTTTCATTATAGTTCAAAATGAAAATCGAAGATTGTATGATTTTCGTCAACTAGATTGTCTGTAAAACTATTGATTTATGATAAAATTCTTATGATTAATGAGTTGATACAATATTGAATGAAGATATCTTGAAATCAAAAGTAAGATGATCATTCAACAAAACATAGAACATAAACATGAATGTTGAAACGACAATGGTTTAGTTTTTCAGCTCCTTTATATTAATTAACAGAATTTGTTAGTTAAAATTTTATGATAACCATTTATTGACATTTCGTTCTATTATGGAAAACAATATAATCAATATCCTCCGGTTCTTCTTTAATTTTCAATTGATTTGGTATATTATTCTGAATAACATCATCGAATGGATTCGATTCAATTTTTGAAATCTGTTAAGTAAAAAAAAAAAATTTTTAAAACTATATATTGTTTCCTATGTGGAAAAAAAAATATCTTACATCACAAGATAAATGAGAATCACTTCTGGAATCACCAAAACATGAGTTCATTGGTATAGATTCATTTACACAGGTTATATTGGATAGTGATGTTTTTGATTGTTTTGGTCGAATAAGATAATTTGAAGATGTATCTTCATTGCTATTATTAGCTAAATTGGCAAATTTTTCTGCTAATTGACGAAAGATTACAGCAGGAGATATTTCAATATTTCCAGGTACTTCAATTAAAAACTGTCGATTCTTTATAGTATTTTCTTCATTACTTGATTGACAAGCTCCATCTACTGTTGTCGATGAATTATTATGAGCTAAAAATAAATGTAATATTTATTTTAGCGCATGAATACTTTAGAAAAAAAAAACTTCATATCATCTTACTACAGTTGAGCAACATTGAACAATGAGAATCGGATGAAAAATTAGTTGATTCCAATGAAACATTATCTTTACCATCTAAACTTACAACAATATTCATTGTAGTTAATGAAGAAACAGATTCTATGCGTGGAAAAGAACTAGAACGATGTCTTTTTCGTATATGAGTCATATTATCCGAAATATCATCCATTTGTGTATCATCATTATCATCATTTTGTCTCCTTAAATTAAGAAATAATTATTTACATTATAATAACTCAAATAATTTGACTATGATACATACATTGTCATCCAAAGAATAGGTAATAATGGATCATAAGTATCATTACTTGGAGATGCCATTTTATTAAGTCGATGCAATTCATTATCTATAATTTAATTAGAATATATTTGATTATATATGACAATTATAAATAACTTACGAAAATACCATTGAAAATTTGTAAAATTACGAGGTAATGTAGTAGATAAAACTACTGCTGTTTTTGTTCTATCACCTGTTGATTCACAAATGAATCTACATAATTCATTTGCAAATGTTCTCAAATCAAAACTTGCTCGTTTTAAATGACCTATAAATATGATGATGATTATTATTATTATTATTCAAAAGAAACAAAAAAAAATTGTCAATTTCATCTCTACCATCATGAACAATGAAATGAACATTAACATTTGAATTCCATTGATGATGTAGAAGAGTATTAAAGCGTAACAATAAATGTGGTTGTTCTTGAGTACCATTTAATAATTTATCTACTTCCATACCATTGCATATACCAAGAAAAAGACTATTCAAGAAGAAAAAATAAATCAATATAATAAAATATTCATATTTTACCTATCATTATACATTAATGTTAAAACTGGATGTAAAACCAAAAAATTAATTTGACTTATAATTTTAGCTAAAATTTCCTTTTAAATATATCAATGAAAGTTTAAATTAGAAAAAAAAAAAAAAAAATTTAAATTTCATCTTACTTCATGTATATTATCTGAAACATTACTTATTGGTGTACTTTTCATATCTAAACATATATAAATATATATTTATATATAAAACAAAATAATTTTTCATAAATATCGAACCATTAATTGGTTGTGCAAATACTTGCTGAATATATCGACTCGTATAATCAAGTAATTCAACACCGGTCATACGTATATAATATCGACGAATGAAGTCAGTAATAGTATCAGGATTTGTTATTTCTTTCGTCTATAATAGAAAAATCAGTTTTTTTTTTAGTAACTTAATTTCATAAAATTAAAACACTTATATCTCGAAATAATGAAGTTTCCTAAAGCTAATTTTTATGATATATGTCAAAAGGAACATTGATTGTTACCTTATGAATTCTATATTTAGTTAACGATGTATCGAAGTACAAGTTTATATGATGATAAAACAAAAAATAATTATTTTTGAACTTGATAAGATCTATAGAAAACAGGATTTTATGAAAGAGTTTTTTTTTACAGTCGGATTTTTCTGTTAACTTCACCATGAATGTGACTCATATCATAAAGTTACAATGATATTTACTATTTACTTATTACTTAATTAGTTAGTTCTATTTATAGAAACAAATCAGACTCATGAGTCTTACGCTAGATAGTACTCTACATCGTAGGGCAGCTAGAAGGCAGGAATATTTGTCATTTTTTTTGTAGATGGATGGATATTGAATATATGTTTTTGAAGAGTAATTACAACGAAATTAGAGATAGACCGATTCCAAATCGAATTCAAATTAAATTTAAATCAAGAATTGGATTTGAATTTGGAATCAATATACATTTCTAATTTCCTTAACGTTCAACTATATCAAAAAATAAAAACCAAATTTTGATAGAATTTTTTCGATCGTTTTACCAATATATTATGTACTATTCTTCAAATATATATAATCAATATTCATTCATCTGCAAATGCAGTTAAGATACAAAAAAAGAAAATGTAAATAGAAGTTGAATGTCTATGACGTACGTTATTTAAAATTTTTTTCATTTCATAAAGAAATATTTGTGCAAGAAATTTTGGAAAATATTGTCCATGAGAACAAATACCAAATGGTTGTGAAGTTAATATAATAGTTTCTTCAAATTGTGGATCTTTTACCTATATTTTGCAATACAAAGAACAAAAAAATAACATCAATAGATTTCATTAAAATGAATTTATTACTTTAATTTTTATTCGATATTCTAATTGACAAAGTGTCGAATTAAATGAAAGACGTTTATATACAGAATCAAAATTTCCAAGTTCAAGTGTATTAGTTTCAGCATAATAAATTGATGCAGGAACACCTTCAGCACTCATTACGTCTCTTGTTTCCCATTCGATTGATGGTTGTTGTTCTAGTTTATTATTTATTTCTCGATTTAATGGATAAAGTGTTACATCTAAGAAATAATCATTAAAAAAATAAAAGAAGATTATTCTATAACATATATAATACCTATATTTGATAATTCTATAGAATCTCCGAGAATATCAGGATCTAACAAACAAATAATACGTGAGTGTAATTTCGCTGTATGACTAAATCCATTCTTGATGTATTGAGTAACTGCTGTACCATCTGAACCTGTCGGTTGAGCAACGATAACAAATGAACTAAAGAGATACATATATTTTACTTTCTAAAAAAAAAAAGAAAAACTACAACTGACTGTTGAAATTGTTCTATAAAACGAGTACGTCCTTCTGTTTCCCAAAATTTTCTGTTTTGTTGACAATATTTTATTAAACAATGACACCAATTTGTTGCACTAAATATTAATCCATACAAATAAAAAAAAAGATTTTGTATTTTTATCATATAGTACATACGCTTTATGTAACATTAATAAACCTGGTAATGGTGCAGTTTCTTGAAAATGAAAATAAAATAAACGTCGTCGACATTGCATATCTTGCCAATGTCGAACTTCATTAAATAAATTTTGCGGTGTCTGAAAATAATTATATTAATATAATTAATATATATGTATTATTAATTATTTACCCATTGTGCAAAGTCTCTTATCATACGTGATTTGATTTCATTATATAAATTTTTTGTTTGTTGATCAAATAAATCTGAATCCTGAAATACAATATAATAAAAATAAAATTCTGTAAGAAACTATTTTGTCTATTCTTTTATTTTTATTCAATAAAAAGCAAATTATTTAGAATTAATCATTTCAATTTGATTCAGATGAATTTCGAAAATAATCAATACAGTTTATCATATGCATTCTTTTTTTAATACATTCATAATTTATATGTGTACGAACAAAATTGACATACTGAAATAATATCATCATTAATCACAAAAATAGGGCTCGTTTAAATGAGTAGAAAAAAGAAAAAAGCATGCCTTCATTATACTTCAATTGTAGTTCGTTGCACTTTTATGCACGTAAACGTCCTTCGCTTACACTTTATTTTGTACTTGAAGCATATGTATTCCTACTTTTCTCCTTCATATTACTCATACATATGTAATTTCGTTAAGAGAAAATTTTTTAATAAAATAACTAGACAAAGTAACTATGGATTCATACAGACATTGGTTTATGAATATGATGAACAATATTTAACTGTTGATAAAACATTTATGTATGATAAAATCAAAGCATTTTTTTTTTTGAGATAATATTTTTTTTCTAAAAAGTTTATTTTTTGTTAGAAGAAAATTTGAAATCGATTATAATCATTACTACTACTTTTTTTATTTTGTTTCTTATTGTAACTTAAATGTTAATATCTATGTTTAGTTTTTCGATTTCAATTAATTATGATTTTTAATAATTGCAGAAAGAATAAAAAATGACACTTTTTTTTTTTTGTTTAGTATTCTTACTTTGTGATATTCATGTAATAATCTATTTAAAACAAAACATTTCAATACAGAAACATCATTTGGTTTTAACTTTTGTCGTTCTTGTGTCAATAAGTTTTCCCATCCAAATTGTAAGCTATACAATCATGTAAATTCATATATAAATTATGATATTTTTCGTTTGGATTTACCTTTGTAGATACAGTTTCGAAAAAGATGCGTCTATAATATTTCTATTCATCAAAATAGAATATAAACCAATACCACTAGGCAATTGTTCATTTGGCGCAATGAATTCATGATCAGTTGTTAAGTCGTATAAGTCATTGTTGTTAACTTTTGGAGACGATTCACTAGAGTCTATATAAATTAAATGAGAAAAAAATACTCGAAATAATGAAAATCTTTCTCACGTTGTCTATTCAAGGTTTTTTTACGTCGTTTGTTTGTCGTAGTCATCGTTTTTTCCTGTTCTTGTTCGACGACTTATTGTCGTATTATGGTATAAAATATGAATTTGTATCGTGTTTTTCTATACAGCCCAATTTTTTTGTACTGAAAAAAAGAACGAAATGATTTCGTAACATAGGTAGTCAACATTAGTTTTAACAAAGAATGCATTCGTGCTCCTACTTCGTATTTTTTTTAACGCTTCTCAGAAGAAAAACAAGGGTAAATAGAAAGAGTAAGTCACGCCTCTCCTTCTTTTTTCGTTCGATAAAAAAAAAATATATCCAAGGATTTTATTCATTGTTATGATTATGAAATTTATGTTGAATATTAATATTAAATTTTGAAATTTTCATAGTTTTTTAGTGAATAGATTTTTTTCATTTTTGCTTTAATAGTAAAATCTTGAAACAATTCGTATATGAATAATTTTACTATTTATTATAAAACTTTATATTAGAAGTTTTACATATGCATATAAATTATTTTTTCTTTTAATAATCGATATAGATTTAAAAATATTTATAAGAATTTCTTGTGAATAAACGAAGACATTTGAATAATATTCAAATCAGTCAACGTACGAAAATATTTAAACGATTTTGATTGAGTGTTATTTTATATTTTTGACTTTTTCTTTCTTTTTTTTTCATACTTTCGTTGAAGAGTTGCTTGAATTCAACATACAACATTTATTACAAATGATGATTTTTTATTGTAAAAATTTCGAATATAAAAAAAAAAAAAAAAAAACGAATTTACTTTATAAGAAAAACAGTGATTCATTATTTTGTTGTTTTATCACAAAAAGTGAAGAAAAATGAAGTATTGACATAGTATATATGATATTTGACGTACTTTATGTTAACATCTGCGTCACTATTATTCAGTTCTTATACTATTTTTAGAATATTCTCATAATCTGATGAAAAATCAAGCAAACAAATACATATATAAACTTAACCGTGTGTAATGAAGCAAAATAATTGTGCCTGACTTAAAACATTGAAATCATTTTGATTTTATGAAGTTGTCGAAAATCTGTTTTTTTCTGTAAGTTACAAAGATGTCATGCCGATGGGGAACGCCCTTTACATTGAAAAAGTTTTCATTCTCGTTTTTTGCAATAAAAATAATTTTTGTTCTTGAAAAAAATATCACTCCCTCGCCTCCCCCCCCCCCCCCGCTTTGACTTTCGAAAACATGTATGTGCACCTTTACAGCTCTAGGCAAATAAGTCATACATTATACTCCCCCTAATTTTTTTTCTTAGATATGATTCAAACTAAACATAAATAATAATATGTTTTTTATGAGAATGAAAACCTATCAAAATCAGTCTTCAGAATTATAATCGATTATTCATAGGGTAACTATATGTTATAATATCACCGAAAGTTTCAAAATTTTACAAGTATAATTGAATAGTTCTATAAGTAGTCATTGCTAAACAAAAAAAAAAAAACAAAGTTTCTCAGAAAGTTTTTTTTCCCACTTATCAAACTTTTTTTTGTTTTTATTTGGGTTACAGATTTTAAAGAGAAAAAAAAATTGAGGGTGCGGGTTTGGGTTTGAATATTCTTTTCACAAATCTATACCTAAACTTGATAACAGTCTTTAGTAGAAGGCTATATCAAACTAAAATTTTGTTTTTTTTTTGTTGGATTCGTCTCCTATGCATACAATGGACTTCAATGAAATACAGTTTTTTAGAAATCTTTTGAAAAATTAGCATCATCAATCCTCTGATTTCTAAATCTTGGAAAAAGAAAATAAAATTGATAACTTTGAAAACACCATTTCGATTATTATGATAACAGGTTTCAATCATTTTAACAGAGAGTCGAGCCGGTTACAACTCTGGAACGGTATATGTAGGAATGAGCAATTCCAATACGATTCCAATTCTAAAAACAGTCGATTTTGCTCATGTCTAGTCATATTAATAGGCAAAATTTCAAGTTGAAATATCATCATTCATTTTGTTTGTCTGTATACCATTCTATGGCTAAGATTCTAATAAAATAATTATAATTGTGAATAAAAGATCTAAGGATGTTTATCCTTTTGGAGTTTTTTTATAAATTGTTGGAGTCTACCTTATTCACAGAGTCGAAGTTCAAAAACGATTTATTACTTGAAATGGCTCTTGCGTAAGACTAACATCCTAAAGAATGCCATAGTCCTGACAACAAATCTATTTAAATAGTTCTACAAATTATAGAATGTGACTCATCGTTAGATGATATTACTGAGAATATATTTAAAATCAGCTGTAAAAAATGAGATTGAATCTTTCTTATGCCATGATTATTTTAGTCGAAACTTTGTAGGACGATAGTAATATTTAAAAAGTTCAATTCGATTCTTTAGCTTACATTCACGAAATCTCTCAAGCAAAAGAGGAAAAAAATTGTATCGTCTTTAGCAAAAATGTTAAATTAGCTCAAAGAACAATTCATTCTTAGTTATTTGTATTTATAATAGACGAAAGATTTCGCTCAACTTTTAGCAACAAGTATCTACATTGCTAATATCAAAAAATTTAATCAAAAGTTTTTTTTTTACCAAGTCTAGTTTAAAAATACTATCAACAAGAATTAAGAGCTTAGAGTTTTAAAGTATTGATTTCTTAAAAAACATGGTTTTAACACGATTTATTCTTTTTGACAAATGTAATTTACAACAAAAATAATATCATATTAGAAAAAATGACTACAGTCTGTATCAGAAAACTATTTTTTTGTTATTGAGTGAACACACTAACTACTTTATAATCAATTTTATTATTTTATTAATGTTCAATTTGTAAAAAGAGAATTCAAAAATAATGTTTTAACTTACTCAAAATAACTTCTATGTATACAAAAACTTCCAGTTTGTGTACCAATACATATCGCATTACAATAGTTTTATATCTTGGCTGATAGCCATCTTTCAAATAAGTAATACAGGTTATCATAAAATAAAAATTTATACATATTGTATTATGTTAGATAATTCAAAATAGATAAGTTCAATTCTGAGAAACTAATCTGTTCAAATAATGTTTGTTCTGTTACTGAAATATTATTTTCAAAAACAAAAAAAAGAAGAAAATTTTCAGACCGTTCAATTTCAGAAACTGATTCTTCCGCTTATTTGATTTGAACTGATCGAATTTCTTTAGATCATACATATTGTATAATGTTATTTATTTGCTAAGATTTTATATATTAATCAACTAGAAATGATCGTCAATAAAACTATTATTTGCTAAGTAAACTTCATTAGTTTATGTACTAAACATTATTTTCTTTACATTTATATACTGTAGAATAGTGACCTCTACATGTATCGTTATCTTCCACCAATTGCAAGAGTTTTCAAATTGATAACCTTCCTTTTTAATAATTACTTAGTGTGTTTTACTATCCGATGAACTTTTTTTTTGGTTCTTGGAAGTAAAGGAAGAAAAAAGCAAGCTGAAAATTTTTTATTTATTCTAAAACAAAAATTTATTCTATCTCATTGTTTTTTCTTTTGGATATATTTTATAAACGTTAATCATGTCAACCGAAGAAAATAACGACTGGTGGCATAATTCAGTTGTTTATCAAATTTATCCACGATCATTTTTTGATTCAAATGGTGATGGTATTGGTGACATTAATGGTATAACAATGAAACTTGATTATATAAAAAAACTAGGTGTTGATATAATTTGGTTAAGGTTAATAAAAATTTTATTTAGCAAAAAAAGAAAAAAAAAAAACTTCATTTTCTATTTTTTAAAATTTTCTTCTAGTTCAATATGTGATTCACCTAATTATGATAATGGATATGATGTTCGTGATTATTATAAAATTATGTCTGAATTTGGTACAATGAATGATTTTGATATAATGTTAAAAGAAATGAAAAAACGTCAATTAAAATTAATTATAGATCTTTCTATGAATCATACAAGTGATGAACATCCATGGTTTATTGAATCAAAAAAAAGTAAAGATAATCCATATAGAAATTTTTATCATTGGGCACCAGGTCATGATGGAAAAGCACCAAATCAATGGGGAGCATGTTTTGGTGGTCCTGCTTGGGTAGATTTTCTTATTAATTTTTTTTTTTTTTTTTTTTCATTTCATTAATTATTATTATCATCTATTATAGACATATGATATTATTACCGGTGAATATTATTTACATACATTTACAACAAAACAACCTGATCTTAATTGGGATAATTCAATGGTACGTAATGAAATGTATAAAATAATGCATTGGTGGCTTGCTAAAGGTGTTGATGGTTTTCGTTTAAATGTAATTAATTTTCTATCTAAAACACCTGGTTATCCTGAAGGAAAATATTATAATAAAAGTCAATATACAGATGGTTCTACACATTTTATTAATGGACCTCATGTACATGAATATGTTAAAGAAATGTATGAAAAAGTTTTTCAACATTATAAAATTATTACTATTGGTGAATGTCCAGGTAACAAAAAAAAAGAAAATTTCTATTAAATATACATATATATATAATTTTTTTTTTTTTGTTTTGTAAAGGTTCTCATTTACATGATGCTGAATTATTTACATCACCGAAAGAAAAAGAATTAAATATGATATTTACATTTGAACATCTTGATTTAGATGGAGGAAAATGGACACCTAAATTACTTGATTTACGTTGTTTAAAACATCATTTTACATCATGGCAAAATGGTTTATATGGTAATGGATGGAATAGTTTATATTGGAATAATCATGATCAACCAAGAATTGTTTCACGTTGGGGAAATGATACAGCTATTTATAGAAATTTATCAGCAAAAATGCTTGCAACTTGTTTACATTTTCTTTGTGGTACACCTTTTATTTATCAAGGAGAAGAAATTGGTAAGCAAAATTGAATTTCCTTTTTTGTTTTGTTTCTAATGACATAACTAATTATAAGAAAGAAAGAAAGAAAAAGAAAACGGTTCATTATATAAATTAACATATGATTAGATAACCCACAGTGTTGTATTATGAGTTATTATTTATTCACGGCATCCGGATATTTGCATATCGATTTATTAATTTATGACTTGTTGAAATAGTCTATTATTATATATTAATCAATTTTCTTTTTATTTCAATTGAATTTTCTCAACAAAGAAAAACTATCATTTTTAACTTTAATACTTAAAATATTTAAATATATATATATATTTTTTTTCTACATACGAATATCTGACTTATATAAAATACATATGAGAATTTTTTTTTTAGACAATAATTATAATAAACTTCTAATCATTAAATATATATTCATACGCAAAAGCAAATATAAAAAGACATTAGTAGAAGAATCCCTGTAGAATACGATACGATTTTAATATTCTTGTCAATAAAAAAAAAAAAGTTTTATCTTGATGAAAAAAAGATGTTAATTATAATGAATGATGATGCTTGAAGATAAAGAAATCACCGTGTGTGTGGGAATGAAATATAAATTTTGTCTTTCTATTTAATCGTTAAAAACTAATCTTGTTATTTAAAATACACAAAAAATTGATTAATATCATTCTAATTATAAATATTTTATTTCTTTAAGGTATGACTAATGTTCGTTTTCCATCATTAGCTGATTATCGTGATATTGAAACAACAAATTTTCATAGTGATGCAAGTCAATCAGGATTAACATTAGAAGAAATTATGGCTGCTATTTATGCAAAATCTCGAGATAATGCTCGTACACCAATGCAATGGTCCGGAGATTTACCACATGGAGGTTTTACACTTGGTGCCGTTGATGTATTACCATGGATAAATGTTAATTCAAATTATACAGATATTAATGTTGAACAAGCTTTAAATGATTCACAATCAATATTTTATTATTATCAAAAACTTATACAATTACGTCGAACAATGTCTATTATTGTTAATGGAAAATATGCAATATTACATGAAGAAAATACACATATATTTATGTATAAACGTTATTATGATCATAATCAACAAGAAATAATTGTTGCATGTAATTTTAGTCAACAACCAATTATAATTGATGATATTGAGCTTAGTGAAAAAATTAAAAAACGTAAACAGATATTAATTAGTAATTATGAAAAACATAAGGAATCTGATTGGCTTAATTTTCGTCCTTATGAAGCATGGGCTATTGAAATTTAATCATTTTTACAAGTTTGTTTTTTAGATCTTGGTTTGTTTTTCTTATCTAGTCACTTATGCGAATGATTAATAAAACTGTGTGCAATTCTTTTTATTTTTAATGTTGTATATAAGAGAATGGCAACACCAATTTTTGATTTGAATCTCATATTATTCTAAAAACAAATATTTTAGAATAATGTCAATGAGTATTAGTATTGATTGATAAGTTTTTTTTTTTTTGTGTTTTGCATAAAATCTTCATATCTTTTTTATTGGAACACATCAAGATTATACTTCATAAATGTCAATTTTGAAAGCATGTCTTCTTTGACAATCAACTTAACTATGACTATTTTGACAATATATCAGAAAATTAAACCTAAAATTTTCTTCTTTCAAGTTATTCTCGAATAATCATGAATTTAGTTAAATACACAGAGTTTTTCTTTTTATTTATCTCATCAATGATTTCAAAAAAATAAAACAACTTTTCTTTTTTGTATATTTCTATGTTTCTTTTTTTTTTCTGTCGTTCTAATCCGACAAAATTAATCATTCATACAGATCTATTAATGGAGTAATAAATGTCATATTCATGCATTCATGTTTTCACCATTGATCTGTTTTTTATTGTCTACCCACTAGTCATCAAATTAATGAGATTTAAATCAAAGTTGGAGTTGCCTATCTCTTTTTTTTTTCTCTCGCTCTCTCTCTCTATATATATATGGTAAAAGAAAATATGTTGCAATATTTAAAATAAAAATCTCAATATACTACATATGTGTATTGATATACAACAAACATACGAAAATTGAAATATAACGTCTAATGTACTATTGATACATGAAATTCAATGAACGATTTTTTTTTTGGGAAAGTGTTCATGATACCAAAACGAGATTATTAATTATTGTCAAAATTTTGTTTTCAATTTTTATTGTACATATGATTCTAAAGTTGTCAGTATTTCGATTGGTATAATGTACACTATATCCATAGTTTTGTTTTTCAGTGGTATATGATAATGTATTGTATTAAAACGGATAAATATTTTTGAAGTTTGTTACGACTAATGAAAATATTTTATTCTTGATGTTGATGAACCTGAGCCGCCTGCATTAGTTACAGAGCTCAAATCAGTTCCAATTTTTTGTTAGTAAAATTCTTTTTAAAATTGTTTCTAGCTGAAACAAAAAGTCATAAGTATTATTGCCGATGTATTGATTGGTAGTGCAAACAAAATTGCAACATGAGTATTTGTGAATTGGTAAATTAATGAAATAGATAATTGAATATTTCGACTTTAATATGATTAATTAATGATATATATACACTACTCAATCAACACTTTTTTTATACTAAAGACAAGTTCACTAAAAAACAGGTTTTCATTCACCATGCGGCTTCTATATCTTGTAGAATAAATACCCAATTTATTATTCTATTATTTGTACTAACACAAACATTGTTTTAATTGATATTAACACTGACAGAAATCTAATTAATAACAAACATAATATAGATTTGTAATTGTATCTTATTGTATATTGCAGTGGATGTCTCAAGTAGTTTCTTTATATAAACATAAACATAATATTCAAAATTATAAGTATCAATTAGTATTTGAGTACTGTAATACGATGATTATCCGTTATTTGAGTTAACAATATATAGGTATGCATGAATATGAGCTTATCTGTAAGGCATTATATGATTAGTAATTTTCTTTTCTCTCTTAATTTCTTATAGCTGTTTGAATCTGATTATGCTAAAATACTAATAACTAATATGATTTTGCACCGATTAAGAATGCACTAGTTCTAGTTTTGATTTGATGCATGCATAATACTATATAAGATAAGATCGAGTCGTGACAAGCTTCATAGAGAAATTGTTAATGTTGATGTCCTTGAGTAAATGAATATTTTTTTTTGCAGAACTTATTAATCTTCATCTTTACAGTTATAAAATTATACTAAAAATAGTTATTATTGTTGAAAAGAAAAATGACAATGATAAGAGACAGCGAAGAAAAAATTTTGATTTTAAAAAATGAAGTTTGAGTACGATTATTTTATTTTAGATTGCGGAATCGTTTTCGTCGATAATTAACAATCAAGACTTAGACAGTACAGTTCGATGAAAGTGTTAGCTACTGCATTTCCGCGTGATAATGTATATCATTACTTAAAGTCGTAGTATGATCTCTTCGAAAAAGTCTGAGAAAAGTTTCTATCATAAACAGTGCTTAGCGAACTTATTCGATATTCTCAAATGTGTTTTCGAGTACATGTCTGGCAAGTAATGTGTCGTCTCCAATATTTTCTAGATAATTATTTTTTCATTGTTCTGACAGGCACAGTCGGACCGTCAAAAACAGATTATAGTTTATCATGAATAAATTTTGTTTGACTGTAAAACGTAAGATAAGCTTTTTATAGACATGAATTTTCTTTATGTCTAAAACAGTGATGAATGGCTTTCATTGAAATTTCATTATCAAAATGTCTATTGAAAAAAAAATCTGAAGTAGTGTTTTTACTCTTAATACTTATAGAAAGAAAATATTTTTAGACTTTGTATATGATATTATTATGCCATCGGCAGTATTTCAGTAACTGTAATAATTAAATCATATAGTTGATTTATTCTTTACTTGTTTGTTTTATTTATCTTCAAGATAAAATAAATACGATTAGAACAAATTATTTCATAAGCATAACTACATTAATATTTTACAAATGAATCAACTTCAGAATCAGATACATGATATATTCCATCATGAATTGATGCAAGTTCCGAACATCCTATAATCAATAATTAGTTCTTGTTGATTGATTAATCAAATAAAAAAAACAAAAAAACTATTAACATAATCCCTGCGGAATCTAAAATATGAAACACGATGTAGTTGCTGTTGCTAATCACAGAAAGATTATTGTTTGAAATATTCCTTTACTATCGTTTTATTTTATCCTCCAGATAATGCCATAAGAAAATAGTTCATATATAATAATGAGATGTTATTGATCATACATTACACGCAAAAATGCGTGAATATTGTTCAATGAGTATGATGTTAATCCAAAACAGTGATTCTTCTTGTACTTTTGAATCTTTATGTTACTTATAATTGATCGTTATTATATTCAAATATGTTTTAATAATAGTTATTTGTTCAAATTCAATCATGTTTTCATCAAATTTTATTAGTCTACAGTGAATTAATAATAATTTCTAGTTTATCTTAATTCATTTCTTTAGAAGTCAATATCTCATGATTAATATATTGACAAATTAAGTTTGACTATTTTTATTGAATTTATTCGATAATCGTGATAATCAATTCACACGTGAAGTTATGAAAATAAAAATAAGATAGATTTTTTTATAAATTTGTTCAATGTTTATACAGCCATCAGCTATTACAAAAATAATATTGTATGAATACGAAAGAAGGCATTTGAAATCTATAGGCACATTTATGAATGATTAATAAAAAAGTGATTCAATATCGTAAAAATTTTTGTATTCGATGATTCATCGTGTCTGCTACCCATAAATTGAGTTGATTATCAAATCTTATAGAATAAGGGAAATTGAGTTGAGTAGAATTCGAACCTCCAAGTCCAGTAATGCCTGCAATTGTTGTTCCATTTGTTTGTCCAGCTAAAAAAAGTTGTATACGATGATTTCCAGTATCAGCTACATACATATTACCCATCGGATCGAGTGTAACGCCTGTTGGATAACTGAGATGTGTTGATGAACTGCCAACTATTCCAGGAGTTCCTGCAACCAAGGTCCAATTATTCTCGCCTAATGTCCAACGAACAATATGCTGACCACCATAATTAGCAATAAGAAGACTGTTTGATACTGAATCAAAATGAATTCCAACAGGATAATACAGTTGTGTGCTATTTATCCCTGGTCCTTGTCCTCCAATGACCAAAGTCCCATTCGATGCACCCGATGCATAGCTCATAACACGATGATTGTTGTAGTCGGCGATGTAAAGTGTATTCGTATTGATGTCCTGTGAAATGAAGTATGGAGTATGAAATTGATTGTATGCTGAACCTGATGAACCTACAGAGAAAACATTTACAAATTAATTTAATATTAAATAATTTAAATAGACAATGTGGTACTTTTTTTGTATCGAATATCTTTGTTCATATGTTTAAAAAGAGATTTCAAAATTTTTTATTTTTCGAATCACATTTAGAAAAATATTTGCTGAAATATGCATTAGAGTATCAAATATGTATATAGTGAAGGTAATAATCTATATTTTTTTTTGCTTTATAAAAGATCTATTCAGCAAAATAGAAAATAGATTTTTCAAAGTTTTTTCTATATTGATAGTTTCACATTTATTACACTAACAAATGACAAGCGAAACATAAATATTTTTTAAAACTATTGATTCAAATATGTTTAAATAATCATTTAACCTAGTAGTTTTGTTTCTGTTTTTCTTTTATCTTACCGGTGCCAGCGATTTGAGTTCCTGTTGTTGCACCATTAGTCCATTTTTGGATTCGAGCATTAATTGAATCAGATACATAAATATTATTATTTGAATCAATAATTACACCAGCGGGAGCATTTAGATAAGCTGCACCTGTACCATGAGCCCCATTTGCTTGACCAGCAACAGTTGTACCATTAGATGCTCCGGTCAGCCATTGTTGGATTCGATTGTTATTGAAATCAGCAATATAGAGTGTATTGGAAAAATCCACTGCAAGATCAATAGGAGCATTAAGTTTATCAGGCGTCGAACCTGATAAACCTCCTACACCAGCTACAGTTAAACCAGTGGAATTCCAACGAAGAAAGGGTGTAAGAACTAGAAAAATAAAATTCATTGCACATTCTATTCTTTATAATTCAAATAGGTATCTATTAAAAAATAAATAAATAAGTTTTTTTTTGTGAAGTCAAAAAGAACAATGTTCTGACTTTTGCTGTTTGAATAAAAAAAAAAAATCTAAGAAATTTACTTGGTGTTGTAGTTGCTGTTTTACTTGTGAAATGAATAATAAGATAAATACTAGTTGCAAGTATACTCAATACAAAGAGGATGATAATGACAATAACAGTTATAAGCCATTTATTTGGATATACCTTCTTTTTTTCAATATTCTCTGTTCTTAAATTTCTAAAGTAAAATAAACATGTATACTAGAAAAGAATTAAATAAAATTTTTAAATCACTTGAAAGTAGTTTTTGTTGATAATCCAATGTCGAAAGAAAACAATGACGTTTGAAATGTTTGTTGTGATTTAATTGTATTACTTGTCATCGATAGATTTTTAGGTGTTGTCATTGATATATCCAACGGACTAATTCGAGATGATGAGTTAATTGTACTAGATCTATATTGTTTTTGTTGTTGTCGTTGATTAGTATGAATAGACTATAACAAAGAAAGAAGAATAAAAACGAATGTAATATCTATCTTGTCGTATTAAATTCATGTTACTTGAGCATAAGAACAGCGTTTCTTTCGCCTTAAATCCAATGATACATGAACGGTTGGATGTTTATCCATTGAAAGTAATATTTTTGATACTGTGTATGCCGATGAAAAATGTAATTGAAACTATGAATTATTTTTTTTTCTATTATTATTATTGTATCCTGCTAGGTTTCTTTCACATGCAAATATGTATTATAGATTTATTTGTGAATAAATTATTACGAAGAATGTGGTATTAGTTGATGTAACTTGCGTTTCTTCACCTAAAAAATTTATTTGAGATTCTTGGCCGGAAAGGACAAAAAATAAATTAAGAAGTAGAATATGGATCTTAAATTTATGTATAAATAACTCTTTATGGTTTTGAACTAAATCATTTTCAGATTGAATTTATAAAAGCTTTTGAGAATAGATGTCATATATTGAAGATCATTTAAGAAGTGTAGAATCAAGTAGCAAAATGAATTTGAAAGAATATCAAAGTAGAATAATTTATTTCATTATAATAGAATTCAACGAAGTCAATCTTACAGTGTAATAATTAAGATGATTTGTAAAGTAATTGACTTTTTCTTGAAATTTTCTATATATTTAATATTATTTGTCTATCAAATTAGGATGAATAAGAAGGCACGATTTCATTACACCCATACCTTCGGAAAAATTCTGTGTGATAATGTTAAAAAATAAAATAAATTCCATCTATGAACAAGATTGTTTTTCCTATATATGAAGAATCATTTGATACAGAATTTCATTTCAATGACGAAATGTGTGGTACTTAATTTTTGAAAAAAATAATTTCTTCATGTCGAACAATTGCAACAATGAAACAATTACTAATTTTTTTTATCTTAGGTTTATGGTCTATATTTTGAATCAATAGTTTTATCCGAATTTACAGTAGAACTTTTCCATTATGAATATCTTCGAGACTAATCAAACCTGTTCACTTTAAAAAGTTGAAGTATGGTTTGCTATGAAGTGAAGAAATACTTCCAAAAAATCTGTCTCTACATTAGTCTTAGATAAAGGTCTGATTATTTATTATCTTGTTCATCTATTCTTATAAAAATTATTTGAATTGAAAGATTTTCCAAATTATAACAGAAAATACAATTTAACAAAAAACGTCTAATGTTGTTTGTCTGTTTGCTTTTAATTGCTAATAATTTTAATTCTAATTTGTTTCATAATCATTTAAATATTCTAGTTTTTGGTTTTAAAATATTTGATAACGAATTGAGGAATATATTTTTTTTCCAGACAATTTGCGTTGTGATGTACGATTACCTCCTGTTTATTATGATAAATTTATTTTTATTTTTTTCTTGGAAAATAAGTTCGTATTATAATGTCATTCTTTATTGCACACATACAACAGGCGAATTATATAAAAAGTTTATTTACTTATACTTTATAAGAAATAGGTGACAGAAAAGAGAAAGAGATCAAACAAACATATTCACAGTAAAGAGATTATAAGAACAAAAAGGCCCGCAGAAAAGTGTTTACATTAGAGAGAAGAGTTTTCTGAAAGAAAAAACGCTTCGTTGAATCCTAGACTGTTCATAATTAGGAAATGTTAACTAGTAAAGACTTTAATGTACATTGAAAACTGAATATGACTATGCGATATTTGCTTGATTTAGAAATAGTAAAGTTCTATTTAGTAATGTTGTTATTAAATACTTTCTACTCAACAACTATGGTGATATTCAACTTTTAAGACCAATCTGAAGATTTGTTGGTATTTAATAAGTTTGATTTTCATACTTTTAGTAACGAGAACGAATGTTTAGATTGACTTGCAAAGTTAAATATTATGATAGTTGAGTAGGAAGTATCTAAAAACAAACTAGTACTATACATAAATTTAGCTTTTTATTCAATTAAATATCATTATCATACTGAATTTTCAATGCTAGTTCAAATAAAATTGTTTATCGAATCTACAACATAAACATAAGTCGAAAAATGTTATAATTTATTGTATATTGATATGATGCAACTTATTGGCATTGTTTGAAAGGAATTAAGAAAATTTCTTTTTTCTCTTGAAAGTAAAAATTACATATTTGTCATTCACGTCAGATTCTGCATCGAATAATATAAAATAAATTAGAAAAACAAGTTCTTATTCGAATTTTCAAGTAACTGCACATTATTTTCGTCACGATTTTCAATGCATGAAAAATGTAACTGTAGATGATTCAATTTCAATGTTGTTATGAAATCCAATAGAATTCAATGATAACAACTGAAATAATCTTATCTTAACTAAAACCTATACTTACACCTCTCAAAATATTTTAATATTCATAAGACACACTTATGCGCAAAACATTAATTAGATTGGCGGCGAGTCACAATTAGGGATCTTTCCTCGTCAGGCAATTTCTGTAATTTTTAGCATTATGATATTGAGAAAAATCGAATTTTATCTAACATCTGATCATAGTCAACAGACGATATAAATGAAATCTATGAGGTCATTTGTTTGATTTATTTTTTAATACATGATGGGGTGTGAGTGTAGATCTTGTCTTCGCTTATCCACACGCATACGCACTTCCTCTTGTTTTAATAATACAATACAACTTTCTAGTGACTCATTGTGTACAATCACGTTTGTTTGAGTCATTTTTCTTTCGTTTCTCAACTTCGTCTTGTTCTATTGGAGAACATGTGTGTCGACGATAACGAAAGAAAAGAGAATTTGGCCAAAACCATCCAATTCATGAGTTAAATAAATATTTTATGCATGCTGAAAGCATGAATGTTAAAGACATTGTTAACAACTATTGAAATTTATGTTGTAGAAATCTGCATTGGTGTGCGCTAATAAAGATTTATTCTAATGGCTTTTCACTGTACTTTGGATCAATTACCTGTAGAATTATTACATACATTGTTTACCTATTTTTCTTCATCTGAACTTCTATATACATTTTATCATGTGAGTGATTATGTTATTGCTTCCTTACAATCTTATTCTTCTTATCAACTTGATTTTAAATCAATTTCAAAATCTAATTTTCGTTGCATTTGTCGTCATGTTCAACCAGAACAAGTTATATCATTGACATTATCTGATAGTAATGATACACCTGGTCAATCAGAATTATTCTTTAATCGTTTTCGAATGGAACAATTTACTCGACTTCGATCACTTACTTTAGTTGAAATTGAATTTAACTCATTAGAATCTATTTTTTTAAATCTATCTAAACTTCATGAACTACGTTCATTTTCATTTGATGCTTATTCTATTAGACATATCTACGGAGTAATGGATCTTAATTCTATAAAAAAACTTGAGCAAATAAATAATATGTTACGTAATACTTATGCTCAAGTATTCCCTCAATTGAATTATTTATGTCTGAATGGTGATTGGGTGTTAGATACGATACCATTACCAAATATTCTACACTTAAAACTCGAACATTGTCCACTCGATAAACTTGCAACAATTGCTGATTTAGCTCCAAAGCTTAGATCATTAGATGCTTGTGTTGATGTTCCACAAATGAATTCCTATGATATCATATTATCTTCTCAACTTACTCGAGTTCGTTTAATTATGAAAGGTAAGTATATCACTTTATGTGAAAACAACTAAAGTACTGATTACACTACTTCGATTACAAAAACCTATACCAATACCCGTCCTAATAAACAGCCGTAATGAGATTATATCATGTTCTGACACTTGATTGTGGTATTCTTGTATCATAAATCAATTTCTTATTATCGTAATAATATCTTCTAATTCAAACGAAAAAAAACCATATCATGATTAGAAATGTACGAGACTTGGACTACAAGAAAAAAAATTTGCTACGGCTGGAAGTCGAGTTTATAGTAAAACACTCTATAGTTTGAAGCAAATCATCTTATAAATCATATCAATGACAACATAATTCAATAGAAATAACTATTAAAGAAAAACCTTTTTCTCGACTCATCAAAATCTGCATGCTATGAAAATTTAACCAAGAATAAAATACAAATTTTCTATTTTTATATATTTTACAGATTTTACAGTATCAATGAATTATATGGAATACATCTTATCAAATCGTTTGTATCTAAAACATCTTGAATTACATTTGAAAGGTTGTGAAGATTTAGCAGATGGTCAACGTTGGCAAAGATTAACTAGTTCTCTCCAAACATTCAATTTTAAATTCAATATACAGCTTGATTCAATTGAACAAATTCTTAATACATTTCGAACATTGTTTTGGTTGAAAGAAAAACAATGGTTTGTGGCTTATCAAGACAAATGTTTATTTTCTCTACCTTTTTTTGCACCAAAACATATAGATACTTCTTGTCAAATGCCTATTTATTCGACAGCACCTAATGATACTGTTTTCTACGAAAATGTAACTCAACTTAGTCTCAGCACATCTAAAAAAATTATCAAATATTTTACTCATATTAATACATTAAAACTTGAAGATAAAATTTCACAACAAGAACTTTTATGTTTTGTTAATCTTCGTTACGTTAAACATTTAGTTATTTTATCTCTTGATGATTTATTACAATTTACACCTATTGAATGTAAAATACCTCAGTTACGTCAACTCACTATTGAAAACAAAATAACAAGAAAAGAAATAGAAAAAATGATGTGTAATTCATATGAACAAATTCGAACACTTGAAATTAGCATCATTCTTCAAGATCAAAATCACATCGTTGATGAATTGCTAAGATTGTTTTCACATACAGAACATTTTATATATAACTCTGATATTCAATCGATACAGACGATGGTACTTTTTATAGATGGATTTAAACATTTATCAAGTGCCTCGTTTATTTCACAAGGTCCATTATATAATCAACCTCAACATTTTCGTTATACTCATGATTTAATAATTTTAAAAACTAATCGAATTAAATATGGTATTTCAACATGTCGAATTTATTATTTACCTGATAGCACATCATTATTTTGTATTAATTGGTGGATTGAAGAGTAAATATGAATTTCTCATAGAAACTCTACTCGATTTCCAAAAACGAACTTCATTGTATGTATGCATGTAACCCAGACATAGTTTACAGAATGTCCATGATGCACACCATATATTATATAAAGACTTTCTATTGAAATGAAAAGCACTATATTAATACTACGATGTGAATAATTGCGTACTCAATAAAAACAATGTTTTGTATTAAATTTTGTCGAAATATGAAAAAAACGTAAAATTATTTTAGATCATATAATCATTGTAGTGTTACAAAGGGTGTGAGTTTTGTGAAGATTAAGACTCATATCCACTCACATCCACAGCCTCATATCTACCTACACCGACTCCCAGCTCCACATAGAACTCACATCAGCATCTACACTCATACTCACACAACTACGATCACTCTAGCACCGACCGACAGATTCACAACAACTCCAACACCCACCCTCTAATACCCATCCGCATGCCACACCCACACTCACATTCTTAAGTGTTCTTGTTGAGCATTTATGAGCTAAATGGATTAGAGAAATTTCGGATCGTGCCTAACTACATATCATTGATCCCTTAAAAACACTTACCAATTTTCTAGTCAGTGCTCCATGGGACGTAGATGTGGGTCTTTGGTTCGTAAGCGATACCTACACCCATTCACACACCCCATCCAAATCACAAATCTATATAAGGTTGTATGTATAAGGAAATCGTACTATTTATATGTGCTAATAATATAAATAACCGTTCAGTATATTCTCATATTCTTTAAAAACCTATTATCTTCAGATTTTAGAAGAGTACGAGATTCTCTTTTGGATTACAGAGAATTGTCACGTAACAAAATTTCGTTGTGCTAGACAAACAACCAAGAATTTCATGTATTTAAAAGTGAAATTATCATATACACAAAAAATACAATTTTTTCTATTTTAAACCTCACGAATTCTATTTGTTTATATGAGAATATTATAATAGATCCTCATCATCTTGTATAAAATGCCCTCCAAACATGACATACTTATCCACCATTTGTTCTTTTCCCTTTTCTAAAACAAACTCTATATGTTTGGCTGTTATAAATATCGAAGCTATGAAAAAGATACTAAATATAAAATGTGCCATTCTGTCTTTTTTTTGTAGACACTGTAATACAATAAAAAGCTTTCTTCTATTTTTAATATTGGTAATGATGTGTTCATGATTTAATTAACGTTTGATAACAATAGATATATAATCTTGAAGCATAAAATATTCTTATTGTATGATAAAAAGTGTGCACAATTATTATATTTCAAAGACACTTAATATATAAAGAAAAGAAATCGACAAACAATAAAATAATTGACGCAATAACAGATTAAATCTGCATTAATGATATAGGAAATAAAGTTTCCTTTCCATTCTTCTTTGTTTTCAATGGATTAAAAGATACCGAAGAAGTAAAAAGAAAAATATTTCTTTTTTTTTGTATTCACATTATCCTTAATTCTATCTCTTTGCTCACATATTTTTCTCTACTCAATATTACTCTTATTTGTTTCTATCATTCATTTTATTTGCAATGGCTCGATCGCAAAAGAAATGGGTAAGAAAAATTATTAAAAGAAAAGTAAAACTAATTAGTTTTTCTTTCCTAATATAAGATACTTATTCCCACTGAACTGATTGGTTCATTACCTCGTGCTGCTGAATTAGTCGAATATCAACGAGCTCATAAAGATGGAGTATTATCAACGAATCGTTTGGCTTTTCTGCAAGAAAAAGATATTCGAGATGTTTTGCGTGATCTTGCACGAACTGGTTCATTACAATTAACCGATGGTGAACTAACGAAACCTTCATTTATTAATTATCCTGTAAGCTTTTCTTTTTTTCTTTTGTTTTGTCTTATACATTAATCTATTAATAAATAGATCTATGACTTAGCACAATATAATTATTCATTTGATGATAAAAACATAACAACAATCACTTATGCTGATGGACATCAACGTTCTCTTCCACAATTGATTAAACCACCATTTCGTTATGCTACTTTTGCTGTTAAATATCTTCAAGTAGCACAAAAGTTTACTTTACGTCCATTGAAACAAGCAGTAATAGCTCCATCTGTTCTTTCACTTGTTTATACTGAAGAAACAATTAAAAATTATTCGAGAGAACAATTTCTTAATGATTTAATAAATGAAGCAGAAAAAGATGTTCGACAATGTTTAGAAGCAGGTGCAGATAAAGTTCAACTTGATTTTGCTAAAGCTAGATTATCATTAAAAATGGATCCAAGTGGAAATTTACTTAAAGAATTTATTGATATTAATAATCGAATGTTAGATCGTTTTAATCAAGAAGAAAGAAAAAGATTAGGTGTTCATGTTTGTTCAGGTCTATAGAATAATTTTTAAATTTGCAACGAAAATTTATGTTTTCTATTGTTTTCATTATAGGTAATGATAGAGGTAGTACTCATTCTGCTGATGTTGATTACTCACGAGTATTAAAAGAAGTTTTTCAACTTAAATTAAATAATTTTTATTTACAAATGACAACTGAACCAGATCCTGAAAGTATTCTTTCTCTTATTGGTATACTTATCAAACCTCATCATCGTGTCTTCATTGGTGTTATCAATCCAAGAGATTTATGTGTAGAAACACCTGAAATAGTTCGAGAGCGAGTTCTCAAAGCGGCTAAATACATTCCTATGGAGCAATTAGGTACAACAGATGATTGTGGTTTTTCTCCATATAATGATAATGAATCAATTACAAGAGAAAAATGTTATGAAAAGATTCGAGCTAGAGTTGAAGGAACAAAACTAGCTGAAGAAATACTTAATTTGTCAAGACAAAAGATTCGTTGAATTTGAACTCTTATTAATCTGCTTTTTGTTAAATTGTTGTTCTATTGCTTTTAAGTAGTCAAATACAATATCTATCTACTATCACGACAGATTATTGTTGCAGACATAATATCTAAATTTATATAAACGTGGTCAAAGAAAAAACCTTCACTAAATGTGCAAAATATTCCTTCTAGAAAAGTATATCTTAAAGTTATAAAGCTAATCCTAACAAAACAAGCGTTGTGTAGTTCAAAATCTAATTGCTGAATCAGCTGTTCAAATGTAAATTTTGCCATTGTAAATAAATAGTCAATTCATTTGCTAACTAAAACTAACAGTTTGCACGAGAAGCATGCAAACACGATGGTTATTTGTTTTCTTTCCATCGTTGTTATTAGTGTTGTTGACTTTAACATTCTGATTTGTTATTTGCTTACTAAATTCAAGAGTCACACGTGATACTGAGCTTGAAAGTACGTCTGAACTGGTTACCAAACCGACTACATATATTTTATTAGAGTATGTCAATGAGGTTCTAACAAATTTTTTTCAATTTTGATTCAAGCAATGTAAATGAATTATTTTTGTATATTCTCTTTTCAAAAACCATAATAACAGGAACGTTGTATTTAACTGAAAAAAAAAATTATTTCAGAGGAATTAGATAATTGACTTTAAATCTTAGAGAAATTATAAGGCATCATCCAATCTTGATCTTCATCATTTTTTTATTCAAATTTCTGAAAAATAATTTGTTGATGACCAGCTTATTACCCACGAATAAAAGTTTCGTAAAAAAACAGTGCTTTAACGGAGATTTTTAGAAAAAAATGCTATGTTTGCGTTTCAACGCATCTTTTTTTTAAAATCGCAACGGATTTTTTCAAAAGTAAAACGTAACTTGAAAACATCGTTTCTAGGCGTTTTTAAGCCTCGTTTTATCGAAAATCGAGTTGTCTTTTTTCGAAACACTGTCATTTTTACTGCATTTTTTTCATTAACAAAACAAGTATTTTTACAAAATGAATTTTATTATTATTCACATTCGTGCTTTGAGTAAAACTAGCATTTCATGAAGTAGAGTCTGCCATCGTTTAGGCAAACATTTTGTTGCATCATAGTCAAAAATTATTGTTTAAATAAGCCAGTATAGAGATGAGTCTCATTAATATAGTATAGCAAAATGTATTAGAATATGACAAAAGAAAGAAATAGTTGAGTAACAAAAGAAAAGTAAAAGTGCACATGAATTAGATTAATTATTTACGTGACATATTATATTGATATATTTATATCTGTTTTTTTTTTCTTATATTACTTTGTTTCTAATTGTTGAACTTATTATTTCATCTCACGATGTTGTTTATCGAAAAAAGACTATGTTGATCCGCAGTTTCATGAATCTATAACGAAATTTCCTTTGACATACGCACCATTTTATTGGATAAATCTTTTATAGAATATTCTATTTTTGTGTGTATTTATTAGTATGAAATTCATTTTAGGTTTAACTCAATACTTTCTGAGAAAAATGTAAGAAATCTTTATAAGTGGCACCACATATTTCTCTGGCTCGGTACTTTTCTCAAAAAAAGTTGAGTGTGCTGTCGATGTGGGCGTTCTTATGAAGATGAATCACACTCCTGATCCAAACCCTAATTTTCTCATCTATGAGTAATTTGTGAAATTCGCAGTTAATTGCTATACTTCCGTTTTGGATAATCTCGGATAGCTCCTTCGAAAGTCTATACAGACTTCAACAATTCGCTTTTCTTCCTCAGTTTTGTGTAAGGATGATCGTCCTAGTGCATGTTGAAATAATAGATATTGTACGTCGATGCATCAACGTGAACAAATTTACGATATTCGATCAAAGTTTCAGAGAAGTTAGTGTAACTGAGTTTCACAAACGACAAAAAGTGTTGAAACAAGATAAACAAAAACACAAAAAAAGGCGATTCCAGCGGGTGGACGCCAAATGTTAAATAAAGGAAGTCACTTATAATTCCGAATCCAACAAAATAGCTGTCAACAACTTGTAAGAAAACTAAATATCATTCAAATGACATTCGAAGCTGTATAATATAGCAACAACATGGTCTGCGCATGAATTTCAAGATTAGAACGAAGGAGAACTTTATGTGGAATGTGAATACATCTTTCACGGATAATGTATAAAACTTTTAATTACAGAGAAGATGTTCATTCCTCACTAATTCCTTTATACTTTCATGATTTCCAAGTAATATTAATAATATCGCAGATGTAATTTTTTTCTATCGGAAAAAAGAAATAAATCTATTTCGACGAGATTTGTCAGTCAGAAAAAAAAAGAGATTGTTTTTTTTTCTTCACTTACTCATGTCCTAACTAGATGCATTTTCTTTTAGCCAGCTTGTTAGATTTTATAGAGATGAAAAATTACATGACCATTGAAGAATGCCTATATAGGATATTTCAGCTTGGTAAATATTACAATCGTAAGGAAGGGAAATGCACCCAATTACTTTTATTCTAAGAATATTTTGAAGTCATAAACCTACACCCAAAAACTTTCAATATCCACCATCAATGCTTCATTAAGTTGAAGCCGCTATATCGTTTAAAATACAGGTAAATTCGTTATCATACAGAAAAATGCCCATCAATAAAAATAAGTTTTTTTTTATAATGGCGCAGTGAAATCATAGTTCGTTCCGTTTTCACCTAAATTCTTCCATGTTTCACTGGGCAACGTAAAAGGAAACATCGCATAAATATTGTTCTTGTTGTAGACACTGTTCAAATGTCGTGAAATTAACTTGCTTCCTATGAGAGTACCATAATCAATCGTCTCAATAGATTGACTATCTTCCATACCGAAAGTAGTGAGATTAAAATGGGTTGCCTCCTTGGAATGGAATCGATCGCCTCGAACGAGTGCTGTTGCATCAGACAAAATGGCAAGTGAAGTCGTATAACCGGGGCAAAGTCCACTTCCGTCAACAGCAGGTTTTCTTCGTTCGCAGAGAAGACCAGGATACAATTCCACATCATCAATCGTTTTATAGAGTTTAGCCAATTGTTCAGTTAATTCTGGATTCAAATCTTCGAATGATTCATATTTTTTTAGATGAAGAAAATGCCTATATTCATTTAGAGTACAGACACCCATGCTTCGTGCATGCAAGATACCACTTATTTCCATATTGCGAAAAGCAACAGGAGTATTTTGACCACCGAAAGCACCAGAAACATTCTTACAGCCATCAATAAGTGCTCTTGCAAGATCGTTATCTTCGAAACGACCATCTTCACGACGAACTAGTAGAGAATTGTGCTTTTGACCGTCTTTTAACTCTGCCAATTTTTGAAACATCATTTTCATATCCATATTTTTCCAATTGCCAAGAAGTCTCGAAAGTTCATTTTCAAGCCATATTTCATCTTCGACACTTGTTGCATGATGCCATCGATACAAAAAATTGAATTCAATTGAACATTGATTTCCAGTTGCCATAGGAAGATCACTACCAATATCGATAGTTGAAAAATCTTGTCGAACATCCAATGTCCATGAATTTTCTACTCGATTAACTCCGAATATGACTCGTAAATAATCATGTAAAATAATATTGACATAAGTTCGTTCATTAATGAGTCGTGCAGTTTGAAAGAGTGCTTCATCCCGTTTTTTGTCTTCGAGAGAACTGAATCGATTATTTTCATCGATTTTTAGAAGATTTTCTGCGAGATAATTGTGATTTCGACTAAAGAGAACAAGCAAAGCCGTTACACCAGCAGGTTGAATCCAAAATCGAGTATCTGCATATTGATCCGATTTAAGAAGACCGTTCGAACCAGTTCGAATAGAATCTTGAATTTCTTTTGTCCAACCGTAGAGTGGACTCAAATCCAAATAGCTTGTTGTTGCATTGATACTTCTATCGACTGGATCTGTATTGAATAGGTCATGCGTGATAAGTGTTGCAAAATAGAAGAGATTGCTTGAGATGAGAGATTCGCTTTTTTTAAATTGACCATCTTGGTCGGGACATCGTCTCAAGAGTTCGTCAAATATTAAACCTGGATCTGGAAGATCATTCGTTTGAGATCGTTTCGAGCGACAATTTTGAACATATTTTTGTCCAGATTTACCAATATTGGGATATGCCAGGTTATTACCAGATCCATCGGCAGATCTCCATTGATAACCAACATGTGTCAGGAAACTGGTAGGTGGATGTGACAGTTGTTTCCACAAACTACCGATGAAAATTTTACTCATGACAGTACCGAAGTGACTGTTGCTTGGCAAAGTATAAAGCATAACAACGATCTTTTCCGTTTCTAAAAGACTATCATCGATTGGATTTCCGAGAATGATATTTGTTGCGTATTCACATAAGATTAGAGCGTCTGGTATGGCATTGAATTTGAGCGTTTTCAAATCGGCAATAAAACTTTGTCCACCACTTGCAAGTTTATCAAGTTCGGATTTGATAATATTGATAAATGCTAAGAGTTGAGAGGGTGGATGATTTCGATGTTGTGTTACTATTGTTTTTTCTGGTACTTTTTCGTCAAACTCAAAGAATTGTTTAAAAGATTGTATGAAATTTCTTAGAGACATTTCAAAAACAGCTTGAATATTCTTGAATAGTAACTCGAATACTAACGACTGTATTCGATCTTAAAAAACAATCCAATGGTAATAACATATATGTACGCATTCAAAAATAGAAACCCATTATTGCTTTCCTAATAATTGTTTCTTTTATTTAACATTCATTCTTTTTTGCAAACAAGAACAAAGAGCGCAGAAGTCACCACATTCACAAAAAAATCGATAGGAACAGATGTGAGTAATGGAAGACAAGCCATAGCTGTGAAAGTAAAAGAAAACCTAGCCAGAAAAATAACGAAACTAAAACGACTTAAGATGTGCGCTTTTTATGATTTCATTTTCGTTCAAGATACTTAACGTGGTTTTTAGCCGTTCGATTTTTGAACTGAATAAATTTCGATAGACGACAGCTCTAATCCATGAACTTAGGTTTCTGTAAAACTATAGTGCAGATGAATTTACAGTTATTTCACTCTTGTTATCATCTTGCAACAATGACGTAATAATTTAATTTTGCTCTGTAACATCTCTGAACGAAGTTAAATTAATAAGTCATTCTTCCAAAATGATAATAAGATTGTAATAACTGAGAACTCATCTACACTATGTTTCGAGGAAATCTTCGTCTACAAAAGTTGAAATCCATAGAAATTTAAACATGTGTTTATTCATTTTTTTTTTCGATTTCAAAAGGAAAGTTGTTCATTTTTTAATTTTTAGATTATTTTCGATGTGACAGTAGGTATGTACTTCTTCACATTTATATTCAAACTCGAATCAGGCAATTCATGTCATTTTCAGAATGATTACTATATTTTTCAAAATGATTTTTTATATTATATGACACGATTAATTAGATTGATGAATCTAATATTCTTATATTAATAGTTCTTAGACCAAGGATACCAGTCGCACGAGTTATTCAACAGATATAGTCAATAATTTATAATACATTTCATTCTACTTATGGAAACCAAACTAGAGTTCTTTTTTATACATGCACCTTCGAATTATCTAGTGCCAACCAATGATCATATATGAAATGTATTTAACTTGCACATTCAAGAATTGAAATCATTCGTCATCGTTCTACAACCACTTGAACTGTTGCTCGAGTTCAAACAGAAGAAAGATATTAATGAAATAACGAAATACCCAAGAAGACGACTCATTAAATAAGGGTGTCATTTGAATGAAAACTCTACATCAACTATTTATATTCAACTTGTTCACATTCACAAGCACAATATGAAATTGATCAAATAGATCATAGAAACAAGAAATATGCGCGATTCATTTCATGTTCGAACTAGATCCATAAAGTACGTAACTATTTTTTATAATTTGAGGAAATGAGTATTCTGTTCACAGAATACACATCTTCATTTAAGTTAGAGCCGCGAACTATGCCCATTCTCTGTGTTTCACACAATCATATGAATCTTTATTATTTTGAATTAGAATACTTGAATGACTCGTATGGAAACTTGACTTAAAACTAATGCCCATTTCAAAAAAAAGACACGTGGATATTTTTGAATAAATTTTGAACGTATTGAGCTAGAGAGCTCCAGTTTTCACCATTGGAAAGAAGAGATGAAAATGCATCGAACCATATATGAAAACATTTTTCTGACTAATTTTCTAACAGTTTTAATCAAACGTTTTCAAAAAATTGCTTTTTCGTCAAAAACACTACAAAAACGTAAGATTTTCGATTTTGTTGAAAAAAATTGGGTGATAAATTGCACTCCAATGGCTAGGATATCTTACTGGTAGTAGTTAGGAATAGAATTTTTATTTAGTTTTGTGGCTCTTATTTGTTGGTTCTAGTACACTCCTGAAAACCAATAAATTAATATCGCAACTATCAGAGTCATGCTATTTTTCTAGAAGCTTTATGTAAAACTAAATTTATTAGGAAAATAGTCAGAAAAATGTTTTCATATATGGTTCGATGCGTATTCATCTCGTCTTTTCAATGTGGAAAACTGCAGCTCGCCAGCTTGATCCGCTTGAAAGTTATTTAAAAAACTACCCACCCGCCCTTTTTTTTTGAAATAGGCATTTTAGATATTATACATGAACTAATATCTCAAGCATCATCGACGAAAATGAATATTCGATACTAATAGATTGCTTGAACTGTTACTATATATAAAAATAAACTAGAACTAAAAATAGTACAGAAATGTTTATGTTCATGTTCATGCAATTGTTCACACATTATGATGTCGGTTCTTGAGAGCCATTGCTGCAAAAAAACCAAACAAACACACACTTATCATATTAACAAAAGAGGTTACATGAACTTTCTTAAAGGAAATTATGAACTACGTACTTAATTATGTAAAGATATCGATGAATTAAGAAGAATCTTCAATATAAGTCTATGTTGCTTCGATTTATTTCAATTTAGACAACTAATCCATTTGTTACGAACCTTGAGGAAGGTCAAAGCAATGATCTTCATAAATAGTCTGGCATTGATTTATTTTAAACAAACTATCGACTACACTCCTTGTGAGTATCTATACAATCTATTGTAAAAAATATCGACAGATTGTTCTTGTGATTATGATGTTCTATATAATTCTTAAGGCTTTCAATAAGATTTATAATAAGTGTTTGAAAATTTCATAAATTTTCTATTTGATTTAAGTATTATGGATCGATATACAAAGTAGAAACACATTCCAAACTTACTTGATGATGACGATGGATGGATTTAAGCTTCATTCAAAATGCATCGTATGATGGCTTGATTTCTGCTTATACATTGTAAGCACATTCTTTCTTTTTCGGTGATACACATCACATGTTGAGAAAAAAAAATCTCTCTGCTTGCTTTGAGCTTATAATTAAATCTTGGAAGAACTTTTCAATTTCTTATTAAATTTAGTTATATAAAACAATGCAGAGCTAAAGCTATCTGATGAGACCCTTGAGAAAGGTCGAAATTAGTCATGGCTTTCTTTTCATGTTACACCCCTATACTCTTACAGATGTCTGATTAAAAGGAACGCTAAAAGAGAAATTTTGTCAAAAACATAAATCATTATAAAACTCAACGTGTTTAAACATGCTGTTGATTGCTTTCTATGACCAAATGTTTTGCCTATCACCTTTTCACATTTTTCCGTTGAAATTCTCCTGTATTTTTTGTATTTTCGTTTTCTGATTGTAATGATGTATCAAACACTTTTTCGTTAAGTACATCCTATGTATTTTCAGTTCGTAACACATCAACAAACTTAGAATTGCTATCTACCGAGTCTATATATTCATTGAACAAGATTTCCATTGAAATGCCAGGTAACTTTTATCGAAAGCTAAGTGAAAAATCCCATTCTAAGTATTTGCGCAGTAAAAAAACAAATGTACAAGTAAAAAAATTTAACTGCAGTTTTATTGTATTGATGAAGGGTGTGGGTGTGAGTGTGAGTATGTGTGTGGATGTGCGCGTGGATATGAGTGTGGACGAAAGGAAGACTACAACTTACACCCATATCCACACCCAGACGGTCATGACAATTCGGCATGCATTTCATAAAGCTTTATCGAGGAAACCGAACTTTATTTAAACTAACGACTAGAACGGAATCCGTCATCAGATACACACGTTACAATATTTCACACAGAGCCTACTTTCATACCCGGCTCTACTTCAGCATTAGCAAGCAACACTTGAACGAAGTTCATGTCTATTGGAAATAGGCTTCTTCAATTCTCATACATAAAACTGAATTTTACTTAACACAAGCAGTAAAAAAAAATGAGTCATGAAATAACCAGGTCACCCCTTTTCATCCAGACTCTACTTCAGTGGTCAATACTACTCAAACATTAGTCAATCGTGTTCCGAACGATGGTTTTCTTTGTTTCAAATAAAATTCGTGTATTCTTATACACAAAATAGGCTATATTCAAGATGACCAGTAAAAAAACGAGTTATCGGACAATCAGGGCAAATTTTTCACCCAGACTCGTCATCAATGACAGACAGTACTCCAGCATTAATCAATCCTGCTTAAAACCATATTCATGATATTTGCACATCGACTTCTTGAACTATCATGTAAAAAAAGTGAATTTTATTCCAAAAGACAAAAAAAACTCAGTCGTCAGATAATCAGGTCACACTTTTCACTCAGAGTCTATTTCAATGACTAACACTATTTCAGCATTAGTCAATCATGTTGAGAACTATATCCATAGCAATTGCTAATCGATTTCTTGAACTTTAATACAAAAAAACCAATTGAATTCAAAACAACGAAAAGAAAAACGAGTCAATAGATAATCAGGTCACGTTTTTTCACCCAGACTCGACTTCCCTTACCAACATTACTACAGCATTAGTCGATCGTGTTCAAAACGATGTTCTTTATAACTCTGGACCGATTTTTCCAATTTTCATACACAAAATTGAATTTAACTCAACAAGAACGAAAAGCAAATGAGGCATCATATAATCAGGTGATATTTTTTTAAACAGACTCTACTTCAATGACAAACATCACCTCGGGATTAGTCCATGGTATTCAAAACGATATTCTTTATTATTCTGAATGGGTTTCTTGAATTCTCATACACAAAAGTGAACTTTATTCAAAACAACGAAAAACAAATGAGCTATCTGATAACCAGGTCACACTTTTGTTTGAACTAGACTCGACTTCAACGCTCAACACTACTCCAACATAGTCAATCGTGTTCAAAAGGATGTTCTTTATTATTTTAAATCAGTTTCTTCAACTCTCATTGAGGAATATGGATTTAATTTAAAACAGCGAAAAGCAAATGAATTATCAGGTAACCTGATCACATCTTTTCAACCAGATTCTACTTCAACAATCAACAGTAATACAGCGTTACTGAATCGTGTTCGAAATGATGTTTTTTCTCATTCTAAGAAGATTTCTTGAATTCTCCTACACGAAGCTGAATTTAAATCAAAACAACAAAAAAAAACATGAGTCATCAGATAATTAGTTCACACTTTT